GTAGATTCTTCTAACATTGAAAAATCAAATTCAACCACTTCTCACTGAAGGTAGATCATAACAAACATGTAAACATTTTATACAACTTTGTAGGGAATGGATTCATAACAAAGCATCAAATTTGATCGTTATTCATTGAAAATAGATTACTTCACAAGAATCATAATCCAAGTGCAATGTTGGGGTGTAATCATGTCCAATCATTTGAGGTAGATTACTAGTAACATCTTGTTCAAACATTCTTAGTTGAAGGTTACGTGTTAATCAAGAAATCATGTTAAACCGATCTTTACTAAAGGTGGAATCTTAGGGGAAAATATCATGTTTAGTCACTTCTCACTAAATGTAGATGTTCTTAAGAAATCATATCTCACTGAAAGTAAACATTCTTAAGTAATCATATCTAACTGCTCTTAGTGAAGGTAGACGTTCTTAAGAAATCTTACTCAGTCGCTTTCACTGAAGGTAGACTCTTGTTAGGTATATACAAGAAATTCTCTGGGGAATAAACGCTCGAGAGACTCATTGGGGATATGCTGATAAACTTTCAATGAAGCTTGTCTATTGGGGAACTCTTGCCAATCAGATCCACTAACGAGATTGTTAATCCAAGATATCCTTGTGAAGGGATGTCTATCTTATACAAATACTTCAAAGAGATTTAATATGGATAAATGTTTTTGGGGATGCCTTTATAAGGAATCCTGACATCCTGCTGAAATAAAACTCGCCTTGGGAGTTAATGAAGATTTATTAGAGAAATTTCTAAAGGAAACTCTATGGGGAGATACCTACCAGGGAAACCAAGCAGAAATTTCATTGAGACTAGAGCTTACTTGGGGAAATATCAATCACTTTTCTGGGGAAGAACATCATCTGGAAGACCAACACTACTACTGTCATGACTTCTGAACAACTCTTGCAACTTGCACTGAAGTAGAACTAAGTATCCTATAAGAAAATTTTTTGGTTCTGCTTAGGATTACACTGGACTTCCTTGAAAAGCTGTTGAATCCTGGCCGAGGCTTATGCGTGATATGCTTTGTGCATAATGTGCAATGTGTTTATGTGTTGCATGATATACTTGAGTAATGTGATCTAATTAATGCATGATGATGATTTATACAATGATATGCATGGTCAATACTTGTAATGGGTTAATAGATATGTTAACCAAATGAATTTTGGACTTTAAAATGTGACCATCATACGGGAATTGGATTTGAAAATTAATTGTCAAACGGAAACTGGATTTGAAAATTAATTGCTAGACGGGAACTAGAAATGATTTAATTTCCAGACATAAATTGACTTTGAAATATTAAGCCGCCAGACGAGAACTGGCTACGAGAAAATGACTGGAATTGATTTAACTACCACACGGGAAGTGACTTAAAAAAGGGCTACCAGGAAGAAATCAGACTGGCTACCATATGGGAACTGGTTTAGAAAACTAAATTACCATACGAGAACTAGTTTTGATTCAACGCTCAGACGGGAGCTGACCAACATACGGGAACTGGGAATGATTTACCAAACAAGGTTGGACTTTTAACATATGTGTGCTACCATGATGCACAAGATGAGATGCATGCTCTGATGTAAGAGTAATGCTAATGCATGCAAACATTATTGATGACAATGGATGAGGATGAACTAACTGTTTGAATGGTTAAGACCAAGAAGAGTTCTTGCAAAACGTTTCTCGTTAAGAGGATCTTACGCTAGCAAAATTCATGGCACCCATTTTTGAACTCAATGGTTGTTGATGTACGACAACGTCTTGCTTGAGCAGCTTAAAGGTATGGAGAGGACTTATCCATATTTAACGTACCTCTCCCCAGTCTGTTGGGTATGTATAGAGATTTTCCTTGAGAGGAAGTTTGGAAGCAGTCTTAGCATAATATAATTTTAATATGGCTTTCTCTAGTGTTCGAACCTCGGAGCAGGATGCCCCTAATTAGCTGGTTCTTTAAGGGATTTACCGAGCCTTGAAGTGATTGCCCCAGATTGACTGAATCTTGAAACGATTTCCCCCAGAATGACAGAGCTTTTAAGGGATTTTCCCCTGACCACAATGTATTTTGACTACCTGCCCTTGGTTAATAGGGTTCTTAGATGGTTTTCCCCAACTTAGGTCCTCTACGAATGATCAAATTCCTTGTTGATTATTCATTTTTGGAATTTCCTTGATGCTAAGTGCTAAATTACAGATAAAATTGTATATTCAAATATGGTAATTTTATGCAATGTTTATACAAGTTTTAAAAGCAACGTCATTATTGAAATGATGTGACGTACAATGAATGAATAATGGTTTATTCAAAGTTTGAAAGATGATGCGGGAACTTGATACCAACATAAATGATTATTAAATATCTAAGAATTAGGTTAACGCAACCTTGTTGTAGTATGCTTTCAAAATAAACCTTGCTTCAATTAGATCTTTTGAAGGTTGTAACGTGGCCTGATTCACATTTTTTTAAACAAAAGTGTGAGTGCACCCACAACCGCTCGGGTATCAATTTAAGAATAAAAGTTCTCTTCTCACCAAACATTTCCCTCTTATCCTGAGCAGTGAATGCACCCACAACTACCCAGGTATTAATACACCACTTATTTATCATAGAAAGTGGTAAGTTAAAAAGGTCAGATTCCTCATCATATCTCAAGAGCTCCATACAAACTATTTAATTGCCTTTCATCGACTCTTCCTTTAAGGCCAGAGAGTTAGAAGGAACAATATAGGTATTTGAATCCCAACTAAAGTCATTTTGGAACCAACATTTATGAATCTTATTCTTTTATTTGGCCGACTCTAGACCAGGAAGGTTAGACGGGGAAGGTTCAGGGACTCTATAGAACATTGAATATGTATCTAGGGTCAGGGGAGTCACCATAAAGTAACGACACTTAAAATATTTCCAACTCTTATGATAAATAAGGAGTACTCTGTTCATTTGACACAACGAGACCATACCCTATCCTTGTTCCCCTTTAACTAGAGTACGACTAACAGTGAAGATGTTGAAAAAGAGGTTCACATAAGGCTCCTGATCCCAATATTCACACCTATTCTAGTATATCTTGTTGAAGACCTAAGCCATCAGACGTAACTGAGAAGGGGAATCCTTAAATATCTGAGTACCCCCTCCCTAGATTGGTAAGAGGCAAACTAAGTTTTTTCCTAGAGAACAAATACTCGTAGAAGGGAAGATATCACTCTAACAAATAATTGCAGATCCTTTCTCGACTTAAACATGGGAAATCGAACAGTAAAAAAATGGACCCATATACATGCAAACCTCTTCGAGCTTGATAACACTGGCGTAGTCGGAAACCATCCCCAATAAGTCTACATCCACCCAACGTTACAATTTAACATCAGGAAGTAGAACCTAACGTTCACGATCTCGGTGAACCATATATGCCCGACTCTCATGAAAAATATAATGCATGCTAAGAATTGTATAATGGTTTTGAAAACTAATATGATCCCTAATTCCTATGTCAGTAGAGTCTTAGTCATTTGTCCCCCTAAAAGATCTCACGAAGTACAAGTCCTCTGTTCATCTCAAGCAATTATTTTTTAATTTAAAAGTGAGTGAATAGAAGATGATAGATTGACAAATACAATCGTCGTAACGAGAGTATTGTAATCCACCCACTTATCCTTTTCAAAAGACTCACCAATACTCTCATTGGAATACCCGCTAGAGGGTTTATTGCCATCTTCAACAAAATTCACACCACATCCAGAGCTATTGATAAGCACGATAAGATTGAGATTGAGTCAATTAACCTCTAAAGAGTCAATATTTCGAACATTTGGGTTTTCAATCCTAGTGGATGATGAAGAACACCGTTAGGATTGTTTATCTTATTTGCAAGTATATTCTCTACGTTGCCCATTATAGTAACAAAGAAATAAAAAACAAAAAAAAATGCAAGAAGGAGGAAGAGAAATGGTACATCAAAAGAAAATGAAGCGGAAAAACGATTAATGGAAAATGAAATGCAAAAATGATAGTGAATTAAAGCAAAAATAACTCAAACATAAAGAGAATATGGTGGAAGCAAAAGTCACTTGAGCTCAAAGAAGAAAGAAATAACTTATAAAAAGAAAAGTAAGTCTCAGTTTGCAAGATAGAGGAAATTATTTAAAAGACCAAAGTAATCCTTATATAGTAAAATAAGATAGATAAATCAATGACCCGAAATGAAATAAAATGGGAAGATTAAAAGCAACAGTCATATCTCACATCCAAAAATGCAATGACACTTGAGTGCACTCAAATATCTTAGAGAAAAGCATCACGCCATAGCCTTTGAAATTAGGGTCGTGTGCGGGGAAATCATGCAAAACATATCAATGATGAGATTAGCGTTTAATGCATTTGTTCCCTGAACCTCTTCCACTTTTCCACGTAAAGATCTCGACATAGAGGACCCAATCCAGTTTTCTAAAAGATATTTTGTATGCTACACCTCAACAAGTTTTGAAGGCAAATGTTCTGGATCAACGATAAACCTAATACTTTCTAGGCCCAATCATTATATACGGCATAAAAATCACCATTGATTTCTAATCATAATTACTTTACCCCTTTTTAGATCATTCATTGACTTAAATAATGATATAATACGGGTTGAACACTCAACCCAAATCTAAAAAATATTGATTGAGTCGGATATTAAATTTAATCATATTATAATCAACTCAACATGCGAACACCCCTAATAATAGTATTTTTACTAAAAATATTTTTTACACAAATCACTCAATTTATGAGTAATGAAGTAATAAAAATTGCATTGAAATTTCAAAATAATAAATAAATATAGATATATTCTTAAGAACAGAATTAATAATTTAAAATGTAGAGATTTTCATTTCCAAGAAGGGATGGGAAGATTCAACAAGAATGAAAAAGCATATGGTGAAGAGAATCTAAGCACATTAAAATGAGCACTATAAAAGCTGATATGAAACTGATTATTTAATTTGGTTTTGCAGTGGATCCCAAAGACAAAGGTGTTAAACCATGTTTGAGTGCTGCTTTCCACACAACATCGATCCTATCAACATCAATGGCTCCAACTTCATGATGAGTCCACCCCTCAAGACTATGCACAACTCCCCCTGCATGGCATGCATGAACAACTCCTCTATCCATCGTGTACTCACAGCACCCAAGCCCTTCCACATCCTCCGGCAATCTCATTGCTGCTAGATCACCGTAAGTGCAATCTCTTCTAAATCCAAATATCGGAGGCACAACAAATTGGTGGAAATGTGTTCCGCTTGGCGCCCAGTTTTGCTCTCTTGGAGTGATCCACTTGCCAACTATCCACGTCTTGCAGTGCTGCGCTGCTTGGTATTTTGTCACTTGAACTAGGTAACTTTGGTATTCTTGGGGTGCTTCCTTTTGAATCTTCTGAAACCTATCTGTTGATAGTGTTAACATCTGCAAAGAAGATATATCATCAGGGTTTTAAAAAACGGTCGCGGTCTCGTAAAGACTTTCTGTACACAATGAAAAATCAGAAAAAAAAATGGTGGAATTATTATACCAGAACTTTGACTTTGTTTCTGCAAAGGTAGAGAGCAATTGCTCTTCCAAGCTTGGAAGTTGCACCAGTAAGGAAAACCTCTTTAGCATCTTTGGGGATTTCATCTAAGATCACAGCTGCTGTTAAAGTGTTGCCATGAACGACACGAACTCTGAGATTTGGGTACTTGTCCACGAAGAGTTTTCCTCCACCGTTTAGAGATTCATTCTGCATCTCCCACGTATCAACAAAATCATCATGAAAAAGAATATATATTTGTAATTTATAAAATTTAAATATTTGTTTATGCTTACAAAATTACAAGCTCTTAAACTCAGTTGTCAACCAATTACTCTCGTTTACTCTAATTTATGTCATCACATTGAAGTGTAAATTTAAAATTAATAATAAATTTCTATTGAAGGTTTAAATTGTCAATACATTCTAATTAAAATCTTCTTCAAAACAGTTTATTTAACTTTAGTTTTTATTTTTATTTTATTTACACTGATCAATTATAAAATTTAGTATTATAGGATTTAATTTATCTACTTTTCTTAAAATAAAAATTTTATTTTTAAGAATTAAATCTTATGAAAATTAATTTTAAAATTACAATTTTACGAAATTATATATATTTAAAAAGACTTATCATATATTTAAATAATTGAATAAATATTAAATTATTCCAATTTCTATTCACAATTCACAATGTATAGTATTTATTTTACCATTTTACCATCTGGTGCAGTAGACCGACTAATCCGTTTTAAGAATCAGTTCTAATATCAAGTAGTTTCAGTCTTCTTTCAACCGCAGTTGCAGAGAATTGAATCTTGGTATTTTCTAATAAATTCAACATATTTTATTAGTTTGTGAATTTTTATATATTATTTTAATAATATAATATATTTTATAATGTGATATGTTTAGTCCAGTCTTATAAATGTCCCTCTTAAAAACTCTTTGTACCAATAAGGACAGAATCATCCTCACAAATGGTATAAATGTCGTTCAAAGATCAGCTAGATTGATTTGGACAGGGACCGGCCCCTTACTAATACTAGTTCAACTTTGTGCCTTTACTAATTTTGGTCCAATTAATATATATGCTTAAATTGTCAATGAATTTATAAAAGTAGTTGATTTGGTTGACGGATAGATAGATGAATATGGGTTGTTTTAATAAGCAATTAATCAACCTACTTTATTCATAAACTAAAATCATATAAAAGCTGAATTAATATGTCCAAGTATCCTACCTTATTCAAAGCAGCCAAGCTTATGACTTTAACACCGATTTTATCTGCCGTGAGGATAGCTTTCTCAATATGCTTATTGATACCCTCAGTAGCAAATGGTAAGAAATACTGTTAAACCAAACAAAATTAGTTAAAACCAATCAATCGATTTACTTGATTAAAATAGACTCATTACATCAGCAAATCTTATTAACGGACAAAAGTCAATAATATTAGATTAAACGTTATCGTCAGAGTTTGAACCCTGCACGAATAAAAAAATACTAATGCACTTACCTGAAAGCCACACCTAGGGACAACCCATGTTTGATGTAGTCTATCCTTAAGATAGTAGAAAGAAAGAAGAAACGTCTTGGACCAAAGCCACATCGCTAACAAAGATATCACAGGGATTGGAAATAACGGAATCAAGAAGAGCCTTGTTGTGAACGGTAAAGAAGCAAACGATCTCAGACCGAATTGAACATGCATAGAGGATGTGACATCCACTATATGAGCCAGAAATACAAAATCCGGTACCCTACTACAATTTCCTTTGCTCAATGATTCATGTAATTCCCATGATTTCGTGTTAACTGTATTTCCTAGTGCGTCAAAAAGAGGCATGAAGAGGCAAAAATTCGAGTCCATTTCAGTATGATGTAGACTGTGGTATCTGCATAATTGATAACGAAGATTATACAGAAATAGAAGGTAAACAAACAGAAAATAAGTTGCGTCGTTAATAGAATTAATGAACTTACGTTGGAGTGTATATGAGATATCTGATAAATGAGAATGTTTTGAAGATACAATACGGAACAATTTCAACGTTGCAATGGCCCAAACATCTAAGAAAATCAAATATCAAAATGTAACCATATATCAAACTTATGGATCCATATCCCATGAATGAAGCTCCGAGGATTGGAATTCCGATTACTAAACTCAGAAACAGATGCTCCAAAACGGTTCCGTTTCCAGCCGTGAATGAGTGCGGTACTGGTGATGAATGATGAAGTGAATGGTAATTGGTGAAAAGATAGTTTCCATGAAACTTTCTATGCACCAAGTAATAAAGTGGTTCTGATATTCCCACATGAAATATCAAAGCTGCTATAGCACCTTTCATGTTCCATGAAGGAAGATTTTGTAGGAACGGAAACATGTAATATGCCATATAACACAATATTGTTTGAAGTATCAAAAAGTTATCCCTGTTAATTAACAATATATTAGAGAGAAGATAATGAAAAAAAATATATAGAAAGAGATATTATTCATGTGATTTACTAGTTAATTACCAGTCCCATTCTCTGTCAACCTGTTTGAAATCAATCCCTTGTTTAAGAATCTGACGGTTTCGTGTTAGAAAAAGCATATTACTGTAAGAACTCCATAGCACATAAAGAAAACCTCTGAGACCAGACAGTATGAGCAAGCAGAGGCACCAGCTGAATTTGAAGTCTTTCTCATTTTCATACAACATCTCGTACAAAACTTTGCCTGCAAATGGCCCGTATAGCACGTACTATATACAAAAATGAATAAGTCATTACGACAAAATATAGATTTTTTAACGAGATATCATATCAGTGAAATATTTGATCGGGGTGAAAATAAAATGCAGTGGTAATTAAGTTGAGTTACTTGTTACACTTAAATTGAAAATGCATGAATGATGAACCAAATATATATATACCTTGAATATTCCAAAGTTCTCCCATGGCCAGGTTGATAAAGGAGCACCCATTTTCTTGTATATATCAATAGTGTTGCTGATAAAATCCTATATATATAAGCTAATATTGCTATGTGAACAAGATTCAAAACTCAATTTGAGGTATGTGATGCCATGAGGTTCATCCCCCACGAGCTATTTATACATTAAAATTAATGGTAGTGTTGGTTGAGGCATTTGCAGTTAGTTTTCTATGTCAGTCACTCTCACATGCTGTCACATTAATTATTACAATTATTCATTTAATATTCTAATTTTTTTTATTAGGTATGGGTCATTATTAGCTTATAGTGGTGGCCATTGGCCAAGGTTTAGATCCCTCTCATAAAAAAAGCCCATAAAACAAATGGAATGAGGTGGAGCGGATATAAGTTATGTATTATAATATTAGGGTAATAGATTATTAAAACTCATTAATAAAGTCTATTATTTATTAAAATGGAACTTATTAATTTTCATTTGTATTTATCTTTCATAAATGAAAACCTCCAAACCTGCATCTATCCACTTATTTAAGTGCTCAGAATCTCTTACCAATTCATTTATTGTTAGAATTTATATTTTAATATTAAATAGAAAAAATGTATATTCTAGTGGAATTTATTAATTTGGAGGATGTTTGTGGATAAGGAACTGCGATTGCAAGAACATGTCTTATACGATATGTCAATTCCACTTGTATACATAAAATAAACGGAGCAGCTGGAGCCATATATAAACCTAATTCAAAGTTCATATATGGTTGGGAGGTAGAAGGAAACTAGATGCTTTCGTGTGGTATGTTGGTTCAATATGTACCTCTCTCTGTATCAGTCTCTATTGCTCACAATGTTATTTTCTTAATACTCTCTTTTTCATTTGATATATATATATATATATATATATATATATATATATATATATATATATATATATATATATATATATATATATATATATATATATATATATATATATATATATATATATATATATATATATATATATATATATATATATATATATATATATATATATATATATATATATATATATATATATATATATATATATATATATATATATATATATATATATATATATATATATATATATTGAAAGTATAAAAAAGAAAACCTCTACAAAAGCCCCAAGACATGAGTGTCTAGAATATAAAACATAAAGGTGAAAAACAAAAGAGAATCTCTTAGAAAAAAAACTGATAGTGTGTGAGACATTTTTTAATGAGGAGAGAAAGAAACATAATGAAGCAATAAGTATTGTATTATTGAATGGAATGATGATAAAACTGAATTATAAACTATGTATTTATATATAATTAACTTGTCTATTAAGTAAAGTAACAAACCCTAAACCCTAATTAACTTTGGGTTTGGACAACATAACTCAACTTGTATTATATCTAATATCTCAACATATCCTCTATAATCTAAGTTGTCAAAACACACTAATAATTTTTTATCTGAACTATTCCTAATTTCTTTTTCAAAGTTAGGAACATGTCGATTTTCAATCATTTGATAAAAATGTCAGTCAATTGTGCTTCACTTGAGCAATGACTCACTTTAAGTTCTCCTCAATTTACCTTCTCTTTAAAAAAATGAAATCTAGCTTCGATTTGCTTACTCCTTCTATGCAAAATTGGGTTCTTCGCAAGATTTATGGTTGACTTGTTATCGATCTACAACACCAAAGGTTTTTTCATTTCGACATCGATCTCTTCCAGCACATATCTGATCCAAATTGCTTGACAAACAGCATAGGATCTTGTTATATATTCATCCTCACACGATGACAATGTTACCACAGGTTGCTTTCTCAAGCACCATGAGACTGGGGAATCAAATACTTGAAAGAAATATCCAGTATTGCTTCTTCGATCTTCCTTATCTCCATAGCTTCTTTGTTTTCAAAGTCTTGTCGAAATGAAACTACATAGTTTGTCGATCCTTTTAAGTATCTCAGGATTCTTCTTACAACCTTCATATATGACACCCTTGGTTCACTCATGTATCTGCTCACTTATCCGATTGAGAAACATGTATCAGGCCTCTTGTTGCACACATATCTCAGAGATCCGACTATTTGTTTGAAAAAATTTGCATTGACTTTGTCTTCCTCTCCATGCTTTTCCAACTTCAAATTTGGTTCGACGGGTGAAGATGAAGGAGTCGATTCATCCTTCATGAATCTCTTGAGTATCTCCTTAACATACTTTCTTTGACGTAGCATCATACCTTGCTTCGACATTTGAATTTCCATGCATGGGAAGTATGACAAATTTCCTAGATATGACATTTCAAATTCCTTTTTCACCAGCTCTTTGAACTACGACAAGTTCTTCAACCTATTTTCAGTTACTAGCAAGTCATCGACATATAAGTAGATGATTTTTATACTTTGTGCCACAACCTGAACATAGACATCATACTCAGATTTGCATTTGATAAATCCCAATTTGACCAAGTATGAGTCGATCTTCTTGTTCCATGCCCTAGGTGCCTGCTTGAGGCCATAGAGTGCTTTGTGCAACTTGTATACTTTCCTTGCTTCTTCCTAGATCACAAACCCAAGAGGTTGTGTGACATACACCTTTTCATCTAAATATTTATTCAAAAAATTTAATTTCACATCTAAATGAAATGTCAACCAACCTTGATTGTATGTTAAGGCTACTGATGACGCCTAAACCTATCATTTATTTGACCTGATTTACGCATGTTTTCCTATTGTTTTTAATTCATTTTTCTACTATTATGCTAGTTATTTATTTTGTTTCAGGAAATTCACTAATCAGGAGTTGTTTGTGAAGAAACGAGGCAAAAAGACAAAAAAATAACGAGGAAATAAAGAAAACAAGCACCTCTAGAAACCCTCATGGCGTTCATCCTAGGAGTGTCATGGGTGGTCCACGCACCGAGTAGTAGGATGACCTAGTCATGCCCAATTTGTGAGCATGGCGGTCGCCATGAGGGTGTGGCGGTCGCCACCCTTTGGAATGCTCAAACGGTTACAAACCAACAAAGCTTGGTCTCTAAGGAATCACAAATGGTTCCTACTTTTTCTCCACGAAGTTGAAGCAGTTATTAGGTATTTTTTAGGGTTTTGGACTCCTATAAATGCCCCTTTCCATACCATTTTTCAAACATCCGAGTTTGATGCACACTTAGGCCATACTCTATCCAATTGTAAGCATAACCCTTCATACCGAAGAGTTATTGTGTCACGAGTCGAGTCTGTATCAAGTTCGGATCATCCTTGTACAATTTTTATTTCCGTCAAGATTACTTCAGCATTTATCGTACCAGTTTCAAGACTCCGTTTGGAGCAGGTTTTTAATCATTCCGCTTTTATATTTACTTTGTATTGCCTTTAATTTTCTGCTTCATTTACCTCGCAATTATTCTCTTCATCTTATTTACCTCTATCGCAACTTTATTTCAAAGCGCTTTTGAGCAGTCATTATGTTTACACTTAAAACCCTTTATGTTTTATTTTCAATAACCATATCCGGTTAACTTATTAGTGTTGCGATGTGAGGATCGTCAATAGACGGTGCTCTACATATTGTCTCTTTAAGATTAACTTTGTGGGTTGTTTTGGTTTAAACACAGTTTTTCTAAATTCATTTTAATCTGCCTTTACAAAAGTGAGGCAGTGAAAACGTCGAATAAGATCGAAAGTCGTCTGACACTAAAGACTAAAATTGGTTTGTTTTTTATTAACAAATACCACGAACGCACTTTGTTAATTAATTAGGGAGTCCAATATTTCTAAAAAGCGATTTTAAAACTATTTACGAAAGCGCTTTTAAGTTAAACTTTATAATCAAAATCACTTTTCGACTGAGTTAAGAGTTTAATTTCTTAAAAATAGGTTTACTACTTTAACGCGACAAGCACCTTCAAGTGACAATGGACGACATTAATTAGAGAGTAAATTCATTTTTGAATACGCGAAAGTGACAGTTCTTGTTAAATTGATCTTTTCAAAGTGAAAATATTTCCCCATAAGTAATCCTATTAGAGACGATTAGAGTATTGTTGATTGATGTGAATTACATTCCAATATTGTTATTCATCTGAATTTATTAAAGTTATTTACTTCATTATTTTTATTCTTAATTCAATCGCCTTAGATAAACACCGTAAAATTTAAGTAATGATAGGTTTGACAATTGGTCTCTATGGGTTTGACAATCTTTTATATTATTTCGATAGGTTGTGCACTTGCAGTTAGTTGGTTTACACCCGATCAAGTTTTTGGCGTCGTTGTCATGGACCAATTACGTCAAATATTGTAACTTTATTGTTACACCATATAGACTAAGGCATTCTTGTCTCTATTACAATGTATCACCTAAATTCTCTCTAGAATTATCACTTCCAATATTTTGTGGAATCTCATGATTCCCATAAATCTAACCTTGAATTATTAATGGAGAATTTCATTGAGACGTAGACTCTCTGTAGGCTAGAATCTATGTGGATGAGGTTTGTGGCAACATAAAGTCTCCAGAATGAGGAGTTTAGAAAACAAAGTCTCCATATTAATGAAAACCTTAGGCAACTGAACACTATTGTCGAGTACCTCGCGACTAACAACAGAGCACTTGAGACTCAAATCTCCCTGCTTGCACAGACACCTTTAGGACCCTTCCCTGAGAGACTTGTAGATGTTGTAACAACCAATGGTGTAGAAGAAATCGAAAATCCTAAGGAGAGTGATAAAGAGGATTATGGTGAGAAAATAGTAGAGCTTAAGAAAAATTCACTGACAGCACCCGAATGGGAGGTTGTCGAAGAGGTAGAGAATGAAGCACCTTATGTTGTACTTCCTCCATACAACCCACATATCTCTTTCCCCAAAATATCTATAGAAACTAAGGTAGACTCCCAATCCAAAAGGTATGTGGAAGTATTGGAAAATATCCACACTAGTGCACCTTTATCTGAGGTCCTGCATAAAAAGAGAAGATTAGATGACCTTGAAACTAGAGAAATCATTAGTAC